CAAAATTCCCGAAAAAAAGCTTATTTTGTACCCTGAATTTTGGGTTTTGTACCCCTTTGTACCCCCGAATTGTTGTACCCTCCAAATTATGTGCCGAATTTAGAGAAATTTGGATGAAAAATGCGAAAGTTTTTACAAAACTTCACAATCTGGAAATTTTATAATCTGACCCGGGCCGGCAGGACCGGATCGACCCGCCGGGCAGTACCAAGGATGGCGTTTTCCTTTCTTGAAGTTCTAGCAAAGCCCGCATAACTTTTGGGTAGACAGAATCACCTGTCCAGCCCATTTACTGTTTTCTACATGCTGTGTTTTGCAATGTACAAGCATCACGAAAGGGAAACTATTTCGAAAACAACCAGACGAAAAATATTGAGGTGGCTAGGCAGCCGTGACCTACTAATTTGAAAAAAAAATGAGAAAGCCATAGCTTTCGATTTGGCAGACACCAACATAAGGCCTTTGTTTTGTGGCGTTGTCTGGAAATATAGATATACTTTCTTAAGAGGCGGTTATCTGGACAACCAACAATTTGTTTTCAAGTTTACTCGAATTTTTATCTTCTATATTTTCCTTCTTTTTTTTTTTGGAAGAGAATGGTAAAGAAGAAAAAAAAAGAAAGAAAAAAAAGGAAAAAAGAAAAAAATGAGGGAAAGGAAAAAAGAAGGAAAGAAACATGACAAATATCGTTTCATTTTTGTTTTGACTCTCTTTTCCACAGCCTGGATTTCTGAATCCTTCTTTTTGATTCTGAGCATCTTTCCGTTCAACTCTGGTGCAAATGCGCCAAATTTAGACCTTCACTTACGCATTGACGCTTTTTCATACTCTATCCCAACAACGTCGGTCGGTTACAAAAAAAGGTTTTCGCTGTGTTCAATGACGCGTCAGTCGGTCAGATGACTGAATAGTCCATCATGAATCCTCCATCCTTATGACTTTGGTGTCCACAGAATCTAAGAATTTTTCAAGACATAATTTGCAGAACACCAACATGTTGTGGCAGTTAGATTCTGAAATATACTATATTCGTAATCCTTTTCCGCTTTTCTCATTTAGTACACTTCTTCTATTCATTTAAATTTCTCTGAATACCTCACTGACGTTCCACATTATCTTTCCACTATTATAGTGGACGACGTCACTTCTCGATATCCACCTCATTTCGTTTTGTTGTAGTTAGCTTAGCACCAAGACGTTCACCAAGTCTAATTGGTTCTCTATTCTTTTCTGATTTCGTACACTCTTCCAGGTGGATTGTTCTGTTTATCTTCCCGAAGCTTTGAAAACCTAGTCTCTTGTATTTTCTCTTACCTTATTACCAGCCTACAAACTCGTACGATTGGAGAAAAACACTTATTCTTTCTGCCGTCATTTTGAGGCGGCTGTGATAGTCCTTGGAGCTGTCTCCATTCAATGCAAAATGTTTTCTTTCGGATCTCAAGGCTACATAGACGAACTTCTGATTTTCTGCTTGATTTAAGACAACTTGCAAAAATTAACTACAGACGTATCCCCCGACAAACGTCTTGTCAAGGCTTATCCAACACGGTAATTGGTAGAAAAATAGCTGGGTGTCTCGAGGCCGCCCATTTTTCCTGGCAAGATTACTATTTATTTTCTGATTAAAAGTTATGAAAAAAATTCGCACCTGACAACTCGGACTTAGCAACTACATTTTGAAGTATTTCTTTTCTCACTCTACTCTTTCTAACCTATTATTTTTTGTAATTTCCCAGAAATACCGTACCCCTTCCTTGCCCTTTCTCACGACTCGCTTAATGAAAAAGACACGAAAAAAAACATTGGTCTGACGCAATTTTCGAATTTCTTTGAACCATTACGCCATTGGAACTTTTTATTGCCTTTTCATTTTTGGTTGTTCTCCTCATTTCTCTCTTTCAAAGAAATAGGTTTGAGAGCTTTGAAGGTTCATGGACCAATAGAACCGAAAAATGAAATTCGTTAGCTTTACAAAATGTCATGAATTTTTTGAAAGAAAATCTGAAGTTTGTTAGATTTTGAGTTTCATAACAACAGCATGAAACATGAAGAGCAGTATTCCATTGCTACATATTTCTCACTACTGCAGAAGTCACATGTTCCTTTCAGTTGTTCAAGTAAATGTCCTAGACAGACACACAGATTTACAGAAAAGTTTACGTAATATTATGACATAGACTTTGTTTTTTACTATAGGTATCGCTCATTTTAAACATATTTTTAGAGTTTCAACTTTTTTTCTCTTTATTAAATTCTGATTCTAACTGATCTAGTTGTTTTTTAGTTTGCAAGTGGAAAAAAAATGAAATTTCAAAGTTTTTTAGTGCTTCTTAAAATTGTTCGCAATAAGGTCGTTTAGACGTCACTATTCGGTCAGCTCTATCAGATATAATGAGAAAACTTTGACGTCAGAGACAAGGAGTACATTCTAACTCCAAATTCGGTAGCTCTTCATTTGTATCAATCTTTCGAGCAGAAAGACGTTTTTCATTTCCCCTCGTGCAGTTTCCGTCTGATTGGTTTTCACCTTTTTTCTCTTTCCAAACAACGTAATTGATATGTACCATGTGCTCTCTCATTTTCATAACCCTCAATATTCTCTAATTTCCATCTCACCTTTGTCTTTCTCTTAACATTTGCCCATTTCTATGTTGTTGAAAAATTTCTTCTATTTAGCTCCCACCTTTTTCTGCTCATCTTTTTTCTTAGACCATATTCATAAACACTTACTTAGGTAAATCATTCAATTTCAAAAAAATCAACTGAAAAACTTGAAAATTGAAGGTAAATTTTTTTATTTTTTCGTAAATACTCCTTTTCCTGTGAACTAATTTAGTTTGATGTTTACCCCCACTTTCTGGAAAGTTCACATCAAAAAAGTTATGTATTGTTAGAATCATACATGTGAATGGCCGGGCCGGGACGGGCCGGCCCGCTTGCCTCAAAACCCTCGGCCCGGCCCGCCTAGGACAACTTTTCAAAAATTTTACTTTTCAAATATGCAAAAATATTTGTAATAGCACAAATATTAATCCAAATGCATAAAACCATCCGAAAAAGTGATTTCAATTGAATTTTTAGCAAAAAATCGAACTTCATTAACCCAAGGATGAAATTTTTTTTCCTAATTTCAACCTCAAAACAGTTTTTTTGGCAGAATTGGCCTCTAGTGTGGATTTTCATCTATTAAGAAGAAAAGCCATCTTGAAAAATGCTGATTCGCTCTAAAATCTCGAAATTTTCAAAAAGCGGGCCGTCCCGCGGGCCGACCATGTTAAGTTTTATCCGGCCCGACCCGGCCCACTTTTAGAAAAATCTCACCCCGGCCATGGCCCGGCCAGGCGCGGTCCGCTTCGGCCCGCGGGCTGACCATCTTTTCCACAAGTATGGTTAGAATAGTATTATAAAACAATATTGTCTAACTGCAATCCCAAATTTTGTTTCTGTTCCACTCAAAAACTATGAATTTTTAAACGAATGGCATGAAAGGATGGAGCTAAAAGGTAACAGCATTTTGTCGAAAAATTAGAATTTTTCGGTTTACAGTAGTTGAGAAATTTTAGTTCACAAAGCCGTTCGCCTATCTCAAAAACAGGTAAATTACTTTTAAAAAAGGGAACAGGATTTTCAGTACTTTTTCACTCTTCTATTTACTTTTTGGTGAATAATTCAGATGATTTTTTGAGAGTTAATAATTTACTTAGGTAAATTTTCATGAATAAAGTCTCTGGCTTCTTATAAGCGATATTTTTTTTATCAATTCACAATGTTTCAGATGAGCAGCAGCAACAGCAGCGTCAACACCAAGCTCGATTTCGACAAATCGGACCCAAAGCCGGCAAGCGTCTATTTGGGATCTCTCAAGGAGTTCTTCAAGGAGACTGGTAAGCTTGAGAAGTCGATTACAACTTTTTAGCAGAATTTTACAGCTCCAAACGCCACCGTTGAGCAAAAGAATCGGCTCAACAATCTTCTTCTCTCAATGATTCAAATGAATCTTGGTTTGTTTCAAACACGGAAAACTTAATTCGTTTCTAAACTTTAGATGTCTTCAAAAACCAACGCGAGGCCACCTTCAGAAAAGTTGAAAATATGAAGGTTGCGGTGAAGAAGATGAAGGAGAAAACCGAAGAAATCAAGAAGGAGATTCTCCAAGGCCCAACTGAGTGAATCGACAAAGAGCTCAGTGTGCTGATCGAAAAACGGCATGATCTCCAGGACCTGATCAGCGATATGAGCGCCGCATGCAGCGCGTTGGATCAGAAGATGAGAAATGAAATGGTGCAGCATCAGGAGGATATGGAGAAGAAAGAAAAAGCGCATCGCGCCGAAATTATAGAAATGTCGGCCAAGATCTGCGAGCTACAAGAGAAACTAAGTTCCTAACCGATTATTTCAATTTATTTTTTAATTCTTTTTTATTGGTGAAATACAAAAAATGCTTTGATAATTCATTCTGCTCTGTGTACATTCGTGGTTTGAAACCTGATAATATTATCTTTTTCTTTTCTTGATGGTTTTTATTTACCTTTTGTTTTGTGCTCTATAATGATCTCAAGAATTCAAGTGCAAATTCAAATGGACATGCTACAAATGACTGGTTTTCATAGGAATGTGGAAGAATTGTTCCAAGAAGCAGGTGAGTAAACTCCAGTTTATACTTTGATGAAAAAACAAAACAATTTCAGCACCAGACATGACACCGGATAAAGCAAAAATTCTGGAACGAATTGTGAGAAGCATCACAAAAGCCACCAACTGTAAGTCATTATAAATTATTGAATAAAAATCAGTCCTTAATTTCAGACTACAGCAATCCGTCAGTCCACAAGGAGCTAATTAATTTGGAGAAAACTGCTGAGAAGGAGTTTAGCGAAAAAAAATCTGCAATTGGTGGGCAATTGCTTGAATTCATGAGCAATAAAAGTACCTCGGAAATCCTCGATCATTCAAAACTCTTCAACCTTCACGCCGACTGCATTTTCTTGACGGAGCAGTTGAAAGAAGCGAAGCATCTCAAAACCACTGCTGAATTTGAATATCTACAGCAAGATGCATTGATAGCGCATCAAAAAGAGATGAACATTTTGAAGCACAAAAAAGAGTTCAGTTTGCAATCGGAAATCTTGGAAATGTTGGAAAACGCTCATCTTGATAGAACTTCAGAGGTTAGTTTGCAAAATAACCCTTTCCAGTTAGTTTAACATGTTTCGCTATTCCTGACAGCAACTGATAGAAGTAACGTCTAAGTGTGGGAAACCTAAAAAATTTCAGAGTCGTAGTCGGGATTCATTCGAACAAAAATATTAAAAAACCACACAGGTTACCATTACATTTACCCAATTTCCAGATGTTCGAAGAATCGCATGGTCCAACTCAGACGATCAGTGGACCGATGTCGTTGGCCCAACACCTCAAAGAAATCGAGGAACTTTTTCATGAAGCCGGTAAGCATCTGAACTTAATATATGTTCAAAACTAAATTAAATTCAGCTCCACTCATGACCAATGAGCAGCTCGAGCAACTTTCCAATATTCAAAAAAGCCTTGTCCAAGGCACGATAAGTAAGTTCAACAGTGCCCAAACAGTTTTCATATCTTATAAATTCCAGTGAGCATTTCGGAGGCGAACGTTCAGCAAGAGAAGACAATTGACGACATTCAAAAAAACAAAAGAACGATTGTCATGCAGCTGATGAAAGAAACTGCAGAGCTCCTGTCTAGACGGAAACCTCGAAACGGATCGCAACGGATTCAATTGGATATCAGTAAAGTTAAGCTTGAACTACTGGAACTGGAAGACAATAAGCAGTACGCCGACGAGCAATATGTCCGCACGTCCTGCGGAAAAAAGTTGGACAGCTACATTCATATGATTGCTGTGTCAACGGCAGAAATTAAGGACAGAGCTGCTGACTCCAGCCGGCGAGTCGATGGTACTCTCAGGAAACTCAACAAAATCGAATTGTGATCAATCTTGTTGGATCGTTTAACTTTTTTTGAATTGACTTATCATCTGCTTTCCATATAAACAATTTAATGTTTTGCACATTATTTTTAACTTTTTTCTATCATTGTTAGAACTCCAAAAACTAGCATATCTTTGCTTTTTTCGTCGGCTCTGTTCTTTTTTCTTCTTAACTACTTTCTCCTTTTTCTGTCTGTTGTCTATTTCTCTATTTTTCGGCGCACCTCAATTTTCGCTTTCAGAGAATTGGAATCATCAGCATCAAGTACAAAAATTCTGGAAATCTAGTTGTCTCAGGTTTGAAAATTTTTGATTTTTCATATTTCGAATCAATTTTCAATCAAAAGTACAAAAGAAAATTGCTTTTTTCCCACCAAGAAAATGATTGGACTACGTTGCAATTTCGATTGAGGCTTGTAATTTTGCTCCAAAATTTCTGACCCGAGCTGAATGTAAGATTGGTTATATCAATAATAAGTGCCAAACATTTGAAAATCTAATTTGTCTCAGGTATTTGGATTTTTGATATTCCATGCTCTGCACCATAGAACCAATGCCTCATCAAAAGTACACAACGAAATTGCATTTTAGCTCCAAGAAAGTGATTAATCGTTTCTATATTGCAATTTTTATTGAGTCACGTACTTTTGTTTTCAAATTTGTGAAATGAGCTAAGATTGTTTCTGAAAACAAAAATGATCTGGCAACAAATTGTATTGTCCCTTTGAAATTATTCAGTGGGTTCAGAGTGTTTAAATTTTTCAAATCCTTTCAGAGTTTTTATGATGTTTCTCAAAACAATAATTAAAGGGGGCGTCCGCTAATTCCAAAATTTCTGAAGGGTTCTGCCTCAAGGGTTCTGCCTCTTGTCAAACTCCCTAATCTGCACACTCTACGTTAATTTTTTTTGACATGTTTTTGACATATATCTTGACAACGACTGATTTTCGCACTATCCTCCAAGACAGTTTCCTTCCCGACCCAAAATTC